TTCAAGCCTTCTCATGCCACAGGGTAAGTCGTCTCATTCGTCCCAAATACACCAGAGCTGGGAACAGGTTCCGGGCCAGGATAGTGCGCGCTCTCACGTGCTGGCATTCAGCAGCTCTGGCTTTGGTCCCTGCAAAGGGTGCATGGGACCTCCCTGGACCAGCAGCTCTTAGAGAGAAATTTCCCTGTGAGATCCAGTGCTGTCAGCTGTGATCAGTTAGCGTAATAGTGAGCAAACTAGCCAAGCAACCCCAGCTGCCTGACCCGCCTCATCGTTTGCAGACCAGGGCTCACATACCCTGTGTTTAAATATTTACAAGGAGTGTATTAAACTAACAAGTAAAATATAGGGTGTCCTCCACAGATATATACACGCACTTTGAATAATTATAAAGACAGTGTTTATTAAGATACATTTCGTTTTCAAAATTAGGCTACGAACTGTTAAAGGGTGAATACATTTTGGGGGAACACCGTGTGTATTCTATTCTCCTGCCTTGGGAAATATACCTTCATAACAACCTGTTAGGCCAGGTGTGTGTGCAGAGTCCTGGGTACCTTGGACAAGGTCTAGAAGTAGGAAGGGAACGGAGGCTCTTGAAGTACAGTCATAACAACCTGTTAGGCCAGGTGTGTGTGCAGAGTCATGGGTACCTTGGACAAGGTCTAGAAGTAGGAACGGAGGCTCTTGAAGTACATGTCCCTTGGCCCTGGAGATTTTTCACCCCTTGGAGGGGAGAGCTAGGATGCTGCCCTAGGAAATGCAGAGCCCAGGGCAGGGCTTTTCTTGCTGGGCGGGAGCAAGGGTTCAAGGCCAGTACTACCTAAGGCCCCTACATAGTTTACCTTAGGGACCAATTCCCAGGAACCTGTTCATATGACTAGAACTTTCGTGATAGTAGGTAAATGGCCTTCATTTAATGTACACTATGGCATTAACTTTATTTTTTTAAATATATTTTATTGATTCCTTACAGAGAGGAAGGGAGAGGGATGAGAGTTAGAAACATCGATGAGAGAGAAACATCGATCAGCCGCCTCCTGCACACCCCCTACTGGGAATGTGCCCGGAACCAAGGTACATGCCCTTGACCAGAATCAAACCTGGGACCCTTCAGTCCGCAGACTGATGTTCTGTCCCCTGAGCCAAACCGTTTAGGGCGGCATTAACTTTAAATAGCACTTCATTTGACAAACAGTTTTTAGATTCAACTATGTAAACCTAACAGTGTCCTCGCTAATTCCATGTCCTGTGATAAAAATGTTCTAGGTCTGGGCTGTTCAGGATGGTGACTATGGGTGTCTGTCTAACACTGCAAACAAAGCTTGAGTGAGGTAAGAAAATAACTTCTCATTTTATTTGATTTTCATGAATGTAAATTTGAATGTAAATAGCCAAGGTGCCTAGTGGCTACCACGTTGAACACTGTAGGTCTGGATACTGATGGATAGAAAAAGTGGGAGACCGTCACCACCATTAGGTAACTTCAAATCTATTAGTAAACTTACCAGGCAAACTGGTGCTTTTGCCTTAAGTGGCTGAAATTGGTCACATTTCTCTTGAATTTACTTAAAAGAATTGTTATTGCCTAACAAAATCATCATCATCATCATCATCATCTATTTTCTTTATAAAGATAAAAGCCTTTTATTGTAGCAATATGGAGATTATAATAGCTATGTTACTATTGTCATGGCCACAAATTCTCATATGAACTTAGCATCTGTGACTATTTCCACAAAGTCTATTTCAGCCTATAGCTGAAATAAGCATGCATGTCTCTTTTGAACTTTGTTTACCAAATAATAACATCAACTTGGTACATAGCATCATTCTACTTCATAGGTAAGAAAGTTATCTAAGTACAGAATTATCAGGAAAAGAGTTATCTAGGGTGTTACCATAACTCCAAAGAGAAATATGGAGGAAATGTTTTATTATGTGAATAATTTCAGTCATTCGTGCATAGAAATCACTCACTCATACTCTCTTTGAAAATAAAAATCATTATAGATCACAACAGGTGGTATGTTTAAGCTGGAAAGGACTTTAGAAAGTGTATCTTTCAGCACTGTAGTCCTTTGAATGCACACAACCCACAGTTATTATCATTCTGTGCAAATGTGGGTTCATAAGACACGGCAAGCAGTCCTTTCCACACGTACAAAGCTCTCAGAGGATGATACGGTCTGAAGTTTACTGTCACTTAGGCTGTCACACCAAACTCTTACTTTAATTAAGCCACCCAGCCCTGACAGCCTCTTGAAGGACTGGTCTATCTACTGCTGCTTCTCCCTCAGGCATCAAGAACATTATAGCATTTGAAATTATAGGACATAGCAGGTCCTTTCTAAGTTTTTCTGTGTTTGTGATGGCCCCACGTCCCAACACCCTATAGAAACTGTTTGAGAAATTGCTGGTTAACCATATCCGTGTACACAATCCAGGAAAGCTGTATTGCATCACCTGCTGCTGCAGGGGTGGCAGATGGGCCACAGTCCAAAGCCTCTGTACTGCAGATCCCGTCTTGCTATGTCGTGTGAGGCTTGTGGGAGATCCCAGGGAAACACTCAGAGTTGCTTTGTTTTTCCTCCTAATACAGACATTGTATTCACTATGTGCATAAGTAGCTAGGTAATAAATGTGTGTGCGTATGCATATATGCCACCCTGAATATGAATATATTCTTTCTTTCTTCTCTCTACCAGACTTTGAGATCCTGGAGGCTTTTCCTGACCCCCTTCTTAAATGACTCCCTCCCACCTTCAGTCAGGCCCTATTACGTTACTCTAGAATCCAGACCAATTATCTAGACTGAGTTTAGATAACATGACTTGTTCGGACCTGAAGGTAGCTACCTTTTAAAATGTATTCACATCTTCGTGTTGTTGGCCTCCCCCACTGCAATACCAGCTCTATGACACTCTCTCTTGTTTACTTTTTCTGGCAGACACTGTTGGATGCTGCCCAATGGCCATTCCTAAACTTTTTCTCCCTCGGAGACTGTAAAAGCTAATTATCCTCCGGCTTCCCTCCCAACGATTGGTGGCTATAACCTAGTTCTAGCCAAAAAGAAGCAAAGACCGCACTGTCCAATAGGGTAGACACGAGATACATGTGTTTCCATTTCAATTAAATAAAACTAAAAATTCAGCTCCTTAGACACACTAGCCACAATTCCAGTGCTTGCTGGAAGATACTGTTTTGGACAGCGCACATGATGGAACGGTTTCAACATCACAGAAATTTCTATCATCAATACCCATCCAAGGGGGAATTCTGCTGGGAAGCCTTAGGATAGAAGTTGTTTTTGTGATAAAAAGAGAATTGTAAGAGATCTCTCTCACCACCTCATTCATCTTGCTTAGGGACGGTATTGTGAGGGCAAGATACCTGAAGCTGAAACAGGTGTTTTATGACCACAAGGCAAAAAGCCCAAAGGAAAATTCCAAATTATGAAGAGGAAATGTGAATACAAAAACCATTTGTATTACGGAGGTCATAGGTGAGCTGCCCACCGAGGCTCTGGACTTACTTTTATTAATAGTTAATATTCTTTATTTTAAGCCACTGCTGCTGCAGTATTTGGGTGCCTAGAACAGTGTGCCTGGCACAGAGAAAGACGTCCAACGTGTTTGTTGATTAACATAATTTAAATCTTACTAACCATTGTGTTCCAAATATGTAACCCAGTTCATATATATTAGCGGGTGAGTAAAAGCTTTTTTGAATTAAATATTTTGGATAACTGTTCATAAACTCCCAGCTAAAATAAACTAACATGAGAAGATTGACTAAAGTTTAGTCTTCTAGAAGCAAATGGAAATATGGATCTTCATGATGAAATTAACAGGAAAAAGAACAGCAATGTTTAGCACTTGAAATGTCTCAGTGACACTTCCAGGTACCCTGTTAATACACAGAAATTCTCTGTGGGTATGGGTGTCCCCCCCCCCCCCATCATTCAATGTTAATCTATTAATTGTGACAGCTGGACTTTCTATTTTTAGTCATTACATAGTATGTGCTAGCGTGTGTGCTTGGTCATTATCCAGGACCCAGAGAGGAACAGCCATAGTGTCTCAAATAACCCCTGAGCCTCTGTAGACAGCTCAGCTTCTGTGCTGGCTGACTCGTTAGTAGAAATAGTGACCTTTGACATGCCACTAAATCTCACCTTTCAGAATGAGAGTTTGAATTGGAACCAGCTTCCAAGAGCTTGGATTTTATCCCGCGGAACCATGAATTCTTCTTTTGTTTATCTGCCGCTGCCAGACAATTCCTAAAATGTATCCCCGTGACAGTTAAATGCTCTTTTTAGGTGACCAGATGTCCTTCTGAAATGACATACCCCTTACCCATTGCAATGTAATTATCATCCATTGTAAATATAAAGAAGAAAAATGAGGCCAAAATTGGCCAGCAGTGCCACGTGGGGAATTACCTTGATGTAACTGTTGCCTCCAAGTACAGGACCAGGCATTTTAGCACAGAGGTTGCAGAACAGGGAGGCTCACACTCCAAATTAAGATGCTCCAATCACACAGCTTATTATATACACTTAAAATATATGGTGAGAATCAGCATAAGGTTAACCCACAATGGACAGGAAGCAACCAGATGACAGATCACACCACCTGAATATTGGGTCACACCATGTTTTTATGAACTGTCCGAGTTACTCCATCGGTCTGTGTCTCTTCTAACTCAGACACATCAAACTTCCCACTGCTGGGTGTGGTTACAAGGACCAGAGTTGAGGTTTAAGCAAGATGGCTCAACAGGTTTAGGATATCTGGGGCCAACATCTCGCTTGCTCTATTAGAGAGATGCTGGGATAATTGTGCCTGTCCACAATTAGAACACCTGGTAACCAACTGTAAATGTTATTTGTGCTTCTTGGACAGAGGATGTGCTGAGCCATATTGGATGTCACCCATGGATAGCTGATGTTCAGCCCATTAATAATTGAGTGCCTCATTGCCATGCGCATACTTAGTGAATCACAAATATTTGCAATAGACTTTTTCCGTCCTTTTCTACCTAGAAGTAATTTTTACCTTTGTCCCATCATTTTTATCTGTTTACCTCACATGTATTCTTTCTCTTTTATGTCTGCCATGTCTCATAAGCCATTTGCCTCTCTACTTAATGTCATCTCTTCTTCCTTTTTTCTATTATTTTGTAGCAAAATTGGATATTTTGAAGTTATACATTTAACACGTTAGGTGACAGATGAAACAACAGACTTTTGGGAAATTTAGAAATATAATCCATATCAGAAATATAAATGGCTTCCCCAAATAGCAGTATTTCCTGAGTATCTATTTCCCAAATATAATTAATCATATTATATCAGCTATCTATGTTATTATAAGTTTTAGTGCTATGTACCAACTAAAACTGTTAAAATCTATCAACCAAATAACTTTTAATGATAGGCATAGTAGCAGATAGGCTACTCATGAAATTTCTATCTAAATTAAAAAAAATAAAACAAGCCTGGCTGGCATGATTCAGTGTTTGAGCATCAACCTATGAACCAGGGAGGTCAGGGTTCAATTCCTGGTCAGGGCACACACCAGGTTATGGGCTCATTCCCCAGACAAGGACATGCAGGAGGCAGCCAATCAATGATTATCTCTTATTGATGTTTCTATCTTTCTCTCTCTCTCTCTCCCTTCCTCTCTGAAATCAATAAAAATATATTAAAGCAATGCTTAAAAGTAAAATAAAACAGTAACTTTTCTTTCTTCTTGTCAGTTAACATCAAAATCCATTTGTTGAGCTGAATAGAATGGAAGGTATATTTGAAATTATACCTGTCACAACAAAGTAATTACCACTTTGAGTCAATCTCTGAATCAGTATGTTAATAAAACATTGACTCTCTTGTTAAATTTCTATAATATATTTTAACACCCTTATGTATCACTTAGAAGCCTCAAACATTATTAAATCATAAACAACTTGGTTAAATAAACTTAATCAAATTTTTAAATTTGGTTATATTAATTATATCATTCATATTACATGGATTTTGGATAATGGGATAGTTTTAGTTTATATTTCAACAAATCACAGTGCATGCATAGCTGTCTGTAACTTTATAGTATGCTAAAATATAAAGAAAAGTGCTAAAGTAGGAAAAAGCATTGGGTTTTGCAGTTGGGATGTCTGGATTAATGTATTGACTATCTTTAGCTGGGTCACCATAGGCAAGTTACTTAACTTCTTAGTGCCTAGGTTTCTTCATTTGTTGTGAGATTTAATTTAAAATGTAATTCAATTAAATATGGTAGCATCAGAAGCATTGAACACATGATTTGCACACAATAGGTGCCTATTGAAAGTTCGTTGAACCTGAATCTCGCTCATCTATACTAATGAGAGGGTAATATGCTAATTAAATGGGTAATATGCTAATTAAATGGGATAGACCAGATGTCTTCCGGACAAAGCCATGGTGGCGGGGCCGAGGCAGAGGGGGTTAGGGGTGATCAGGCCAACAGGGGAGAGACATCAGGCCAGCAGGGGAGAGCAGTTAAGGGTGACCAGGCAGGCAGGCAGAGGGGTTAGTGGCAATCAGGCAGGCAGGGGAGAGCAGTTAAGGGTGATCAGACAGGCAGGCAGAGGGGTTAGTGGCAATCAGGCAGGCAGAGGAGAGCGGTTGGGGGTGATCAGGCAGACAGGCAGGTTGGGCCTAAACCGGCAGTCAGACACCCCCCAAGGGGTCCTGGATTGGAGAGGGTGCAGGTCGGGCTGAGGGGACCCCCAGGCACTGGGCCTCTAGTTGTCTCATATTCCAGACAATGAAGCTGAAACCTAATGAGGTTAAATGAATGTGTGTCAGGGTTATACCCTAGGTTCATGTGAAAGCCTGAACCAGAGAGCTGGGAAAACTTTGCAGGAGTGATTGGTTCCCCTGTAAACCTGTAATCAGACTTTCTGATTAACCTGGTCATGAGTTATGATGCGAACAAGCCACTCACTGAATATCTCTGTTTCCCTACCTGCAACATTGAGAGACCAATAATCACCCCTGCCATTCTGGTAACATGGGAAAGGTAAAGAAGTAATGCATGGAATAAATCACTGGGAAAAACATCCTGTGTAATGCTAACCTGTCATTATAAACATTATAAATTACAAAAGCATTTCAACTGTAGTAACACTACATTACAATTATAAATATATCAGCTCCTTTCATCTCCAGATTTCTAAATTCCTCCACAAACAGTGCTGTGAACATTCTTAGCTGATTCCTAGACAGTTCTACTAGCAAAGCAAAATGGAGAATTGAAGCAATTATGCAGAAAATTGGGGAGGAAGTATGTCCATTCTCTCCACAAGGTCTGACTTGCACAGTTCCATTTGTCCAGGTAATGACCCCAATTGTTCTCATCCTTTGCAAGTGAACACCCATCACGATACAGATTAATACATGGAGATTCTAAGTTCAGTTCAATCCACCTGAGAGGTGTGGTCCATTCAGGGAAAGCTTTTGTCTTGTTTATTACTGTGTCCCCAGCCCTGAACAGTGCCTGACATGCAATAGGCACTCCATAAGTGTTTGCTCAATGAATAGATGAATGAAGAAATAAATGAATGAATGAATGATCCAAACAATGGATAATATTTCTCCCTTTATTAAGGTGTCTCCTCCTGATAACAAATAACCACAATCGAATTGTTGTAAGGAAACTTAAGCAACATCTTTATTTATGAAGTCAACTCTTAGCTCAGTTCATTGAAACTTCTCACATGTACACTTATCTCTTAGAACTATTTGAATATTTGATGCCCTCACTCCTAGAGTCTGCTCTGAATCAGGCAAAGTTACTCATCTAATTGAAGCCTGCTTGGCTGTAAAAATTCTATATATTAAGTTCTAAATCCACTTAATTAGCTTCCCTAATCTTCATTAAATAAAACTCAGTCCCTTCTGATGGGAATATATAATCAAAACAACCTGTCTGGAAACGAATGGGGCAATGTGCAAGGTGGGGCAAAAGTAGGTTTACAGTTGTTTGATTGGAAAATAATATGGTAATTAATAAATAATAAAACAATAACACACTTTGTGTTGCCTGTACTCACATCTGTGAACCTGCTTTTGCCCTGCCCTTTATAAAGACTCTTAGGAGAGAGGGAGATTCTGTCGAGGGCTCTGTCCAGTGCTGTGCCTAACCTTTCCTTGAGGATCTCGGGGGTTATTGGTTACTCAGACCTCTAAGAATATTTTTGCTTTTTTCTCCTCTTTGTTTTGTGTATCCATCCTCCTCCTCTCCTCCCCACAGTAACACTGAAAAGAGGAGAGTCAAGGGTCACTTATTTCTTAGGTCCCTCATCCGACCACCATGGAATTCTATCAAACTCCTATGTTTGTCAAAACTATTGTAGGTGAAAGTGACAGAAGCACAACTGCAACCAGATTAAACACAAAGGGAATATAGGATTGGTTCCTGTGAATAGGAAGGTGCTTCAGGCATAG